TGTCCTAGGACCCTGGCGCCGAGAGTGCTTCGCCTGGAATCTCAAGGAACACGGCCTCTTTAGTGAGATATATAGCTTCATAATTAGCCCGTTGCATTTTTTTCATGAGTGCTAGCATCAGCGTTCTCCGATGTGTTTCTCTGATTAACAGCTGCTTTGCAACTATTTCCTTGTGCCACCGATGACCATATTTGTCAAGGAACTCCTGACAGAGTACTGATTTCTTACTAAAATGCAGCATTTCTGTTTGAAGAGGGTTCTCTCACTCTCGGCAGTGCCGACCCTTTAAAGTCAGTCTTGTTACAACTCCAGTTTCTTTGGTTTACCGCTTGTTAACAGGATTTGGGTATCTATCTACTTTAGAGTACGAGTAAGCGAGGAACCTTTCACAGGCAATTGAATCTGAGCCGCGCAGGTGTAGCAGTGCAGTGTTGGAATGGGGTTTCGGCCTGCATATCGGTCATTTTCTTTTGCTTTGTGGTTGTGATCTCTCTGGGTTAAAAGGGGCTTGGCTCTGGTTGTTAGTGTCATTAATTTTTGAATATTTTTAATATTTTAAAATGGCTAATGAATGCTCACATTTTAGGAGATAGATGTGTATGTAGCATACAGGAGTGCTGGAATTGGTGACATTCCAAATAAGTGTCACTGGAGACAATGCATCAGGTTTACATGTCAGGTGCAAAGTGCTAAGGCTCCCTCAAACCCCAGGTTCATTATTAGGCAAGCTCCATGTGTCCCCCCTCCCCAAGCCTGGTGCAGAAAATAAAGTGTGCATTCTGGAGATGACAGTGTGCAGGTCTTTTGTAGGAGAGCAGAAAACACATAGGAAGCAGCTCTTCCATGAGGACTGTCAGGAACCTCGATTCTTCTCACCAGGGATTACTTATCCTACACAATGCATTTAACAGCACATAGTTCATCGTAGATAGCCCCTGAGTATACTGTATTCCATTGATTTATACAGTTACAAATCCTGGTCTCTCAAACACAAATCTCTCTCAGTTGGCCAATCATCTTGGATGCAAAGGTGTTTTCAACCTGAAGTCCTCTTTTTTCCCCGGGTTGCTGACAGTCACTTCAGCAGAACTACTGCAAAGGCAAGAATTACTCCTGTTCTTTGTACCTCAGTTTCACCTCTAGCTTTAAGTGATAAACAGTGAAAGTTACCAAATTTCCCTAAAATAGTGGAGTTGGTGGCAGGGTTGTTTTATTTTGCTTTTGGGAGAGGGAGGGAGAAGGCAGGGTTATAGGAATAGGGTCAGTTCCCTATACATAGAGAACTTTGCTTCTGTTTTCTTCTGAGTTCGTTGGCTTTATTTTTATGAAATCAGCTACTGGTAACTCAAGGTGCGCTCATTAAGTACTCTCACTGTGCGAGAGGAGGAGAAAGGAGAGCCAGTGCCATGTTTAACATGGTGTCAGAAGCAAGTGGCTTCCACACGGTATCAGGTGCTTTGCGCCAGGATTTCCCCTGGCCTGCTGCACTCCCACAACATGCGCAATAAAGTTTCAGTCTCCGTTTTACATCTTTGACATTGAGACGGAAGATTTGGCCAGAATTTATGTAATTTAGTTGGCCACAGATATAACCCATAAATAGTCACATTCATCTCCTAATTAGAAAATCACAGCATAATACAGGACAGGCTGCAGGCACCCCATCATTTCATCCAACAAAAGTGTGTTGTGTGTGCTAGACCTCTGCAGACGAAAGAGTCCGTTGAAGTGCTTCATGAAGTTAATGAAAAGTGTCCAACAATAGGGGAACACAAGATGCAGACCAAGTGCATTGTCATTGTGTTTAGTGTGTTAAAGTCTTTGCATTGGGGGGTAAATCTATGTATGGGAAATCTATACAAAGGGATTATAAAATTCTAGGTTGGACAGGCCTTTGTCCCCCTATTGTAGGGCCAGTTCCTATGCGGAGGGAGGAGGAGAGTAGAGAGTAGCTGAAGAAATTAGTGGCAGGAGGAGAGAGGTTTTCATATGTTCATACTTACATGTAGCTGCTTAGCTGGGTCTCTTTCTTATTCAGCACATTATGTTGAGGCTGTTAGTTTGGATGCTTTATATTTTTGCATCTGGCGTAGTGATATCGATGCTGTTAAATATGTGATTTGCCTGTCGCCTGCATTTTCAGACAAAGATCAAGAGGAACATAAACAAGCCCCAAATATACTTTATGTAGGTGTTTGGCAGTATTATCTTATATGGCTTGAAATTAGTGAATGGAAACTTTAAAAGAAATTGTTCATATTTTTGCAAGTTTGAAGTGTGCCGGGACTTTGTCAAATTCCCGTTAAAATAAATACGTCAATTTCATCTCCCTTCCAAATTCATTTATCTTGCTTTTTTAAAAGGTGTTTTCTACTTTACCTGATGTTTAAATTGGATTCGCTCGTTTATGCTGTTCTTTGCTATATCCCCCACGTTTGTCTTAAATGAATTACTAATGACAGAGCACTCCATCATCCCCTCTCTACAGCCACTTTAAGGAAAGCCTGGTGATCTAAACCTTTTAACCTATTAAAGATGATTTTTCCCAATTGAATCAGACCCACCACAGGTGTAATAACTAATCATTTAAACTACACCTGCTATTATGTATTTTTAAGCCATTATGCGTGTTGGATAGATGATAATTCATGTTTATTGCATTGTCCGATGGATCCGTTTTGCCTACACTAGGCTGATTAATGTATTTAAAGAAATAAGAGATGCAATTTTTTAAAAAAAATTGATGGAATGCGCCAAGCACTGCATTGAGTGCACCATTAAACCCATCAGAACTTTGCTCTCTGACCAGAAATGCATATACCAAGGACTATATTAAAAAAGCAAGGTGAAGCCTGTGCGTTTTAGTGGTGGGATTCTGCTTTCTTTCTCTGTCATGGGAAATTTTGGAAGGATGAGGGAAAGGTGTGTGCTTATGGGTAAATGAGCGGAGCCGTGCTGTTAGCATCTCCTGCCTAGGACCTGCTCGGCCGTGTTTCCTCCGACACCTGCACCTGGCACACACGCCCCAGTGTGTGGAGGCTGCCGCCTGATGCCAGTGCTCCAGTTGTCTCATGTGTCCAGGTGTATTTTTTTCTCCGAGTAAACAGTGATCCCTGGGCCATCTGAGCTGTGCACATTGGCACTGACCCTGGGGGCCGATGGCTGTGTGACTCACCGTCCATCTCTTTCCGGGGCACGGCTCGCTCCTTGTTGCTTTCTCCTTCCCCTTGCACTTCTCCCCTTTCCTGTCCTATCGCCTCCCCTTCTGCTCTGCTCCTCTGACTCCTTTTTTGTTCCACTGCCGCTTCCCTCCCCCCTCTTTTTCCCTCCTCCTCCCCTTTCCTTTTGCTTTTTCCCTTCTTTCTTTCCCCTCTCCCATCTCTTTATTAAAATGTACCCGTTTGGGGGATGTTTGTCCAATGTTTCTTGATTTTGGTGGAGCCTGAGGCGATCTGGTTGAGGGCTGTGGGGGGGTGTAGTTTGGGGGTTCTAGACTCTCGAGCATCGTCTTCTCTAGTCCAGGACTGGTTGGTGATCACTGCAGTTCATGATGGTGGCTAATATGTTTGCAGATTATAACCAGTCTCGAGGAACACTAGGTTTCCTTTCACTCACAGGCCCAAACCTTAAACACTGGCATCCCTGACTTCATCCTGTGGGGAGAATGTGTTAGGCAGGCCTCTCCCAGCAGGATGCCAGGAAAATATATAAGGAATTGCCCTGGCTTTTTGTTTTTCTTTCTGATTCATCCTCACATATTTTGTCATCAGAGAAGTCTGTCTGGTCTCAAGATTAAATTCATATAAAATATGAAGAGGATATTTGTAATTTGTTTTCCACTTGTAGTCACAGTGCTTTCTGTTTGAATCTCTGTATAACTGCTACCCTTAGTTTTTGAAGGATCTTAGACAACTTCTTATATTTGGCCCCTTAGAAATTTTTTTCTTTCAACAGCTTATGCGTGGACTGCAGTGCCTGTTGACTTTACCTGTAACACGAGACTATATTACTCTTTTGGCTTTGATGAGATGAATTATGGCAGTCATTTAAAATGGCCCCTTTCCTACCGGGGTCAGGTTCCCATTGCTGGTGTCTGGGATGTCACGGTTAGTGTGTGCCGAGTGATGTGAAGGTGCATACCTTCAGCACTTCTTCTGTCCTCTACCTGGCTCACTCATAGATATGACGATTTCTTAACTATCATGCCAAGGTAGATAGGTAAGCTGTCATTCTGTCAGCTTTTAGCCACGAAACCCCAAACTCTGTCCTTTGAAAGCTCTTCAGAATCGAGCGCCGTTGCATGAGAAGGACCAGTGTGAATGGCTGTGCATGTTGCCTTGTAGGTAATCGACCCAGTGGTAGATGTTCCGCACTTTGCTGGGCTCTGTAGAGGCAGCATGGTCTCGTCCCTTCAGGTTCTTGCAGTGTGTTTGGGGAGGCAGCCTGAGCATTAGAAGACAGTGTAATTATGTCTTCAATTATACAGTACACACGACAAGCATTGAGGAAGCTGAGAGTAGGGAGATCAGAGACGGCTTGCTTATATAGGGAGGGCTTCAGGGAATTAGAACAGGCTGTAAAAGGCTGTGCTGGGGTGTGTGTGTGTGTGAAATGTTTAAACAGGTAGAGGTGGGGAAAGGAGGCCTTCTAGAAAAAGGGCATGGCATGGGCACAAATGTCGTGATGTGAATGAGCATGGCCAGGAGAGAGCTACCTGCCGTGGTGTATGAAGAGCCAGCTTGAACAGGGAGATCAGGGAAAGATTGTTGCAGGTCTTAAAAGCTAGGCTGAGGGGATTGGGTTTGATAGAATCAAATACAGGAAACCAGTGAAGGGAGGGAACTGACATAGCGCTTTGTTCAGATAGATTTTTAAATGTGAGAAATAACTGGTTATAAATGTGACCATAGTTGTGTGCTATTTGTATGGATGTTGGGTAAACTTACCGGATTTTTAATTTTGAAAGTTTACTTTGCTTCTTTGTTTTATCTCCCCACCAGATTGCCACAGCAGTGAAGTTCCTGCAGAACTCCCGGGTCCGCCAGAGCCCACTTGCGACCAGGAGAGCCTTCCTCAAGAAGAAAGGTACAGGTTCCCCATGGCCATGCACAGTGGCCTGCAGAAGGCGACCGGGGACGGGGCAGGTGGAAGCCAGTGTGGATGGAAGGATCGCCTATAACTGACCCACTAATGCGGGGGTGGGGGTGAGGGGTGCCACCCAGGGGGAGTGCTGGCTTTTTCCTAACAGTGGAGCAGAGAGATGATCTAATTCAGATAATTGAGCTCCAGCTATAAGATGAACGCCTTGGCCCAGGACAGTCTGGCACAAGCAGCATTTAGTGGCAGAGAGGCCTACTGGATATGACCTCTGCTTTCCGCTCCGTTCTGAGAAGGGCCCTGACTGCAGGATGACTGGCTTTAGGCCAGCTGCTTTAGTAGGAGTGAGGAGGAAAGGAGTGAAGGAAAAGGGAGATGAGGTGAATAAACAAGGTCAGGCAAAGGTCAGGCTTGGGGTCCACCTGATTTACAGATTGAAGTGGTAGGTCACTGGTTCTATGGTATTTCTATAGGCACGGATTAAATGGATCTTGACAAATTCAGTATTGTCTGAAGCATACAGAATCTATCCTGGCTCTGTTGAAATTCAGGATATTTTCTTTTTGTTAACCCAAAACCCCCAAACAAACCAAAAAAGAAATCCGGTTTTTCATTTTTCTCTAGAAAGCTCATAACCATGAGGGAGGAAAGAGTTTTCTTCCCCCAACAGACCTCTCTTTCCTTCAAGAGCTGAAATGCCAGCCTCAAAACTCTGGGCTTTGGGCTTTAAGTCATTTGTGGCTGGAAAAGCAGGTGGAGTGGTTTGGTGGTATTTCCTCCGTCTGCTCCATGGTATCCCACTGAGGTGACCCTGCAGGACCGTGTTCCAGGGCTGCGCTCGCAGGTCAGGGCAAACGCCCAAACATTTCATTCACAGGCAGCTATTCAGAGGCTGCCTTGAGCCGGTCCCTGGGACCGAGCTGGAGAGGGGCGCTGTGTGCCTGCTGGCAGCATCCTGCTCGCCCCCCATCAGTAGGAGATTATTAAAATTTGGAGTGCGTTGGCTGGCCTCTCCACTCCGCAACCATCATGCCATAAAAGAGTTTTTCCTTGAAATATGTGTACCTATGGGGAGTAATTAATCATAAAAGCTTGGGGATTTCAGCTCTCTCATCAAAGCATTGAAGCTGGGGAAAGCTGAGCCTAAAAGCTGTGTTGATTACCCGGGGTAACCTGAGACAAAATCTATGGTTGCCGAGAGATCCTTCGCCCCAGTATATTGTGCAATATTATAACTGCCTGATCTTCTCTTCCACTGACAATGACCAGTTATTCCTCATTTTCTCTCAAACGCAGCTGGGTTAGAATTTCATTTGCAGAGGGTATTTAGAGCAATTTAGAGACAAATGTCTCTGGTGTTTGCCCGGCACTTCCCCACCGCAGGCTTTGCTGAGCAGTTTTAGTATCAGGAGCTCCATCTAATCTGTTTAATTTTAATAAATCCCTGACTGGGAGAGGGAGAGAAAAAAAGAGAGAGAGAGAAACTATGGACCAAATAATACTTCTTTTGAGTTAGTTGGCTAATAATCACTGTAGCGAGGAAACTGTTTTGTACAATTGTTATTTGTTGCTCCTTTTTAAAAGAAAACACAACTGATAAATTAATTCCTTTAAGAAGGAGTGTTTATCCTGCACCATGCTCTGCTTTAGTCGGGAGCAGACAAAATTTCTGCCCTCTCAGAGCTTCAGTTCTGACTGGGAAGGCGGACAAGTAAATGAAAAAACAAAGCATGTGGCATGTGAAATGGCAAGTACCTTGGCACGTGGGTTGAGTACTGCGGTGTGGTGTGGGCATGGATCGCACTTTTATACCAGGTGATTAGAGCATATCTCACCCAGAGGGTGGCATGTGAGCAAAGACCTGAAGGAAATGAGTATTTGTTGACAGTGGGCTTAATTCCTTCTCGACCCTTCACGTGTGTTAGTGTTTTTAGAATTTTAGGCAGCCAGGAACCTTGAGCGGCACCCTACCCTTCTTCCAGACTTAATCACATACCTCCATTATCTTCGAAAATGCTCCTTTAGTCAATAATTACCCATTTTTGAGGTGATCACAGTAGGGTAAGTTCTGGCGGGACCTTTGCAGAGAATGCTGAGGTTTGATCAGCGCCTGGGCAAAAAGAGCCCCTTCGTGGATTTAAACTTCCTTTTTTAAATTTCCAGTTGTTCCCAGGGTGAGGGGATGCGATCAGCACAGCTTGGTACCATCTCTGATAGGATGAGGGAGGAGGGGCTTTTGCAAAGCAGCGAACATGTACTCTGTCCCTAACAGAAACTGAGAAGGAAGGAGACTTGTACTTTGGGAATGGGGAGGCTGTCTTGGAG